TAAATCAACGAACGATAATTATTTTGATGCTTTACTTAGCATTTAATCTCCCCCACTCCCATCCGCGCGCAAAAATAAAAAGTTACTAGCAATTAATAGACTTTTTCCTGCGGCGCGCTGGACAGGTGGAAAACGGCATGTGAATTCGCGTATTAGATTAAAATTATTGGCTACCTACATCTTGCTCGGACCTAAAAATTGGCGTCCTCGGTTCTTATTTAGTAGACTTTCAATTGTAAGGAAAATTCAGGAAATTACAAAAGTAATATATAATTTTGTATGCAAATATCAAACATTATAACGACTAAATATAATAATTCATAGTTCCCTATAGTTGTACAGCATTTCGAAATGAAGAAGCATTAATGTATGTGTTGAAGTAGACTTCTAGATTTGAATTTCTCAATTGAATTACAATCGAGCTGAAAATAACATTTGCTAATTCAGCCTCATGAATATTGAAATTTGCAAATTTCATTAGCGTTACGTTGATTACAGTTTGGCATTATTTTAATGAATTTATTTTACAAACAACAGTTCCGGATAATTGAAATGATTAATCATTGGAGAACGTGTGAGAATCATTTTAAAGTAAGTTACAAGAAGCAAAAATGTACATAAAAAAAATTTACATACCGAGAGATATGGTACATATATAAATTTTATGCAATATAAATATTATATACATTTTAAAGATAAGCGTCTCTACTTCCGAAACGGTAAATAACAAATCGTTAATTTGAAACTTCTCTTAATTTTAATTTCAAAAATTCTTCAAGTTACTTTGAATGCCATGCAATGCTAATTGTGTCAAATATTTGCCGTGTCAAATAGTTATTTAAGATATGAAACCGTTATTTACCATTAAAACATTATTTCCCATCGAGTCTTGATTGCAACAATATTTGCAGATCACACAGATCGCGGGCGTGATTGCGTAATCAAATGATTAAATCGACTGACCACAAGGCAATGTCAAGCGTGCACGCTGCATAAGAATTCGCCGATTAATTTGATAGGTTCGAATGAATTCTAAATTTTTGCGGCCATTATCCTTCCGACGTAATTGGATTATTTTGCGGAATTATTGCAAGAAATTGCGTTATACAAAACTTGCTAATTACTTTCTTGATTTCAGCACACACGGGGATACCCTTTACCCAAGTAAATTATACACGATCACTGTCAATCTAAACTTGTGAAATGGCCTCTAGCTAGGGACCTCGCTTCAGCACACATATCTAAGTTGATAATCCAAACTAATTATGCTCCCAACAATTAGAGGCTAACATTTGACTAGCGGATAAAATATGGCATATTGCTACAACGCAATTACTATTGCATGTCTTATTTCTTCTTGGGGAAACTTTAAAAATGTGAAAATGGAAAAATAAAAAAAATACATTTATTCTGTTAATATAAAAACAGAACGTCGCCTCTCTCTCTCTCTCCTCTCTCTCTCTCTCTCTCTCTCTCTCTCTCTCTCTCTCTCTCTCTCTCTCTCTCTCGTCGGTTTTTTAAAAGCACGTGAAAGTGCTCTCAATAGAATCAGTCAGACTCACACGTAATCACGGTCTAAATAAAGAACGTACAAACTAGCTCTCGGGCATTTTTCTTTCGCGAACTACCGAACGTCAAAGAATCTTAATCCTTTGCACTCCGTAATAAATTCAACGTTTTACTGCAACAATTCGATAATTGAATAAAAGTCGGTCATTTCTAAAAACATTTAATTTCATTACGGCACGTTACATTATCACATTTTAACATTTAATAACGTAAAAAATGTGCCGTAATGAACCTTTACAAATGTCAAAATTCGAGTCGCCGAAATAAAATGTGATATCGAGCACAGGTAAATTTCCGAGCGCAAAGACCCAACGTTTCTACAGCGAAATCGAAATAGCGGATATTCGGTCGGCGATGTTCGAAAGATTTCTCACGTACCGGACAGGAGACTTCGCCGAGTGAAAATTTTCACCGTGGCGAAATAGCGCGGCTTGTACATGCGAGAGCAGCGAGAGAGCGAGTTTACCCGTCGATTTTCGAACTGATAAAAACATGAGAGAGGTCCGTGGAACGGACAAGCGCGATGGAATTTAAAAGTTACTCCACGTCCCGGGGCACACACCCACTCGATAGAAACTTCGGCACTTATACCGTCCGCATCCCATAGAGTTCAATATATACGATGTTTCGTCCCCTTGGAGCGCATCGGCTTATTATAGTGGATGACTGTGTTTCGCGCTAACGAGCAATGGCAGCGGAGTTAGCCCGGCGATGAGAAATATAACTCATCGGCGTTGGTGTAAGCCGCGTTTGAAACGGCCGCGCGGGAATAGCTATCGCAGTCGTAAAGCATCAGGAATTAAGACTGTCTCCGCGCGAGATTGAAACCGAATCCTCCGTACGAAATTTCACATTCCGGCTAATGTTTCTCAAAATTATATTCAATCCGCCTCTTATGCCGCCCATAGACCGATACGCGGTGTAGAAAGCAGAATTGCCGGCATGCATCTCACAACTCAACAACTCTGTTCGTTCTTTCCTCCGCTTTTGTGCGAATAAAGAAACGATTCCGCGGAAAAATATTGTGACATTGCAATGTGATAAATGAGCGGCTTTCAGAAGAGTTTCTCGCAATTTTTGGACTTAAACTAGATTTGTAAAATGCACATGACATTTTAAAAATTACAAATTAAAAAACATGGAAAATTGAAATAAATTGCACTGATTATTACATTGCAAACAAATATAAGCTCATAGAAACAAATTTTGCAAATTTGTTTAAAACATTTTTCTACAGTGAAATGTTTTTATTGTGAAATGCAAATGGAAAATGGAAGTTTTTCTAAAAAAAAAATAACGCCAGTGTCAAAAACATTTTGCTATTATTTTTTCATCAACTACCAAAAATCTTACTCGCATTAAAATGTTACAGAATCATTACAGCACCTAGGAAACAAAAAAATAGTCAATGCACAAGAAGTCATAAACAGAGTAAAAGCCAGATATTAAATGAAAATATTACATATATTGATATTATATTTTGTCACGTGCATTGCACTTTTAACCAATAACTGTCCAAACAGTTGCCTCCCTGCTTTCATTTTCCCTTTTCTCTCACGTGTGTAATATCACTAATAAATACAAATTTTAGTAATAATTTTTTTAAATATATATTCAATATTAGTTTTTTTAAATTGAACGTTAACTATTTTTATAATTAAAATATTATTAACTTATCGACGAATGAGTTCATCAATGAATGATAATTATTTACCGGAAAAAATTACCTGGGTCCGTGCACGCGCAATATATAGAATTATTAGAAAAATTTTTTTAATCGCAAGAATTTCTCTTTGCACTATTTTTCACTTTCTACAACATGTCGTTTTCACGTTGCATTTTTCATCACATATTAAAGTTGTTAAATATAAAATATGTATATAATTATAAGACATTTATGCGCTTTGAGCTTTTGTTCTATATCTCCCGACATAAAATAACGCACAACTTTGTTACATAACGTTCTCGGTCTGCAATATAATACTTTTAAAGCAACGTTAGAACACGTTGCATGACATGGTTAAATCGTAATATTGGAGTCAATATATTATGGAATAATCGCGGTGTCAATATGGAATAAACTACAAACGTGCTCTCAGTCAGTTTTATAAAAAGCACAATTTGTTTCTCTCACATACGGCGTATTATATGGGAAGCCTGTTGCTTCTATGATATAATCGAACATTGGCTCGGAACTTGCCGACCCTCGTCTGCAGACTAAACGACTGATGCTGGGTTAAATTTGCACAAAGCTGTGTTAAGAGGATAATAGATTCGTGTTGTTACACGTACAGTTCAGTTTATATCGACATACATATGTATAACTGATGTAGCGAAAGCGATAGACTTCGTAGATTATTCATCCTACAAAAATGATGTGACTCAAATAATACTTACAAAAATATATATAATCTCTGCTGAGCCAATACGAGCTGTTAGCTCAACCAAAAAGTCTTTTCATAACTTGATATAATAAAATGTATTTTATTTTTTTGAATAAAAGTTTAAAATATTTGAAAAATATTTAAAATAAAAATTGAACCGTGATCATTTACTCGTAATCAGTAGAAAGAGTGTTCCAGTGTTCTTAAGAACGACTTGAGAAAATTTAAAAATTAAGACGCTAAAAGGCTACAATTACATTTACACGTTATATTAGTTTCGAACGATAATTTCGATTAAACCGTGCAAATATATTATCCATCATGTATTACCTTATTTTTTGTTAATCTTATTATTTCTCTTCTTCTCTGACTTTCTTCGAAAGTTTGCGCAGCAGATAATTAACTTTTCGCGAAAGATCTCCAGGCAGTTTCATCTTAATAACCGTACATTTTGTGAAGTTTATCAGTGTAATAGTCAAATTTATAAGACACACACAACACATAAACTCTTAATCTGCGAAAAGCAAAAGCAAAATTAAGGACCTTAAGGAAGCGTTAAATCCATACTGTACTCGACTGTTGATCTTACGAAGAAGCTAACAAATTTGCTCCATTGTAATTTATTCGATAAAATTTTTTTCATCTTCGCAACTCCTTTTTAACTAAAGAATGTATTATTTCTCGTAACATACAGATATGAGATTACTAGTACAACTATCAATAATTTCAACACTTTTTTATATATCCGTAATGCAAAATGTACTTTTTATTCGAATACTTTTTGTATTCATTAAAATATGTTTAAGTCCTACCAATTTTATGTACGAGTGTGCATTCTTTAGACTGTCATAATAAAAAGCACAATTTTTATACTTTTCCATAGAAACTTTTGAAGTAATAAATCGTAGATAAAAATGGAATCAAATTTATGAAAGAGACAGAAGGAAAGGCCAGTCGTTGTCTGATTTTATAATCCATGTTTCGAAAACTTTAATAACAACAGTTAAAAAAAATGTATCTGTCAGATTAAAAGTCAGAGTCACTCACCTTTCGAAGGTAAAACCGGGCGCGTCGAAAGGCGATGTAACAGCGAGATTCAGGAGGAGGCTTGGTGATCCGTCTTCAAGTTCGTCGGCAATCCTCTGAGTTTCAAAGGCGAGACCCGCTCGGTATGGCGAATACCAGTCAACTGACTGAATCCAAAGCTCCGCGTGCTTCAAGTTATACGTAACGCCAGCAGCGCGGTGACGTCACGGGGCACAGAGACCAATCGGAGGGCTGAGCTTGCGCCCTAAACAGGGGTAGAACGGCCCCCACCGATCGGTTTAAGGGGAGCTTGCACCTGGACATGAACGGCGATTCGAACGGCGATCGCTTGTTCTCCTTTTGCGCGCGATTCCCTCCCCCCTCCCCGCCCCCTTTTTGCTCACTTCCTCGACCGCGTACTTCGCCCACGTGAAAAATGTTCAACCATGACGTCGATAACGTACCCCCTCGCACGCTGGTGAATGGGGAAGGCGTTATAAAACCGATCGGCGTTATTAAACGGATGGCGCGATGTCGCGTTCAGCATGACGAGTTTACTTACTTCGCTGACCAACCCTGACCCCATAGTTCACGCCTCCGTCGGTGGTCATCGCCTGACTTGTCTTAGAAAGAGGGACGAGTCGGTACTCGTAGCCCTCTCGCGAGTTAAACGAGAGCGAATTCAAGTTTTTCTGTTATTTCTCTGCGTACGATTAATGTGGAACTGAAGCAATCTTAGTGATTAATAAAGACGTACACTGAAAAAAATTTCTGGTTGAATATGGACGAATCAGATAATTCCTTTAGGATTTACCAGAATTTCTGTAGGATTACAGGAATTCTGGTAAATCCTAAAGGAATTATCTGATTCGTCCATATTCAACCAGAAATTTTTTTCAGTGTACGTAACTTCTACACTTGAAGGAACTTCTTTCTCTCGTGCTTTAACATAAATTACTAGTCGCAAATCTTCCGGAATGAAGGAGACAAAATAATGTTCTCTATGTCTTTTAAAACGGTACCTTCAATATTTTAACAGCACAAAAATGTCGTTTGACCAGGGAGAGCTTTAAAAGCTGATTCTCGACATTTTACGAATTCAGAATTTAAGAAATACAAATGAGTACTGGAACGTAGTTTTCTCGTTTCCTTTCGCTCGAAGAACAATTTAAGAATATAATGAAAAGCGCAGTAGGCATAACATTAAACACAAGAAAACGTACTTGGGATTACATTTCTTCGCATTTTAATTCACTTAAAATCGATTACGAGCCAAAGATAAATATTGTTATATCTCAAAAGACACGTCCCCTCGAATCTGTCCACGTAAAAAACAAATTGACGTTATTAATACTTCACACATACGATTATGTACACAAGAGTGATCGTGATGTAACAGGACATGAAGCGGATACTATAAAAAAACCACTTTAAAGGAGTGCAGTTTTTATAGCAAGCCGCGGTCATTATAAAGTCCCTATAAAAGCCTACCGCGGCGTCATTAAGTTTCGCAGTCGTTCCAAAAACGCGAAGCGCCGCAACGTCCCTTTTTCTATCAACAGGAATACATCAGGCAACCGAGCTGTGCAATTATTCTCGGTATTACCGTGCGAGAGAAGCGGAATCATTTATCAAGAGAGACGCTGTATCCAGAGAGAGAGAGAAACGCTATTCTCACTTTCGCATATTAAACCGCCAGGCATCTTTTGTTATATAAATTAACAACCGATTAAAAGCGAACGAGCGAAGATACAAATTAAAAACGTTTCTTTCTGATAACGATGCGAGTCGGACGACGAAATACGTAACGGTTATGCGTATAATGCGCTAATAATATTAGAACTCGGTATATAGGCTGCTGAGACATGATTTTCGCTCGAGGAAATAGACGCGATAACCGAATTAGAACCCCAAAGCGCGCTAATCGCCGTCTATCTGTGATCACGGAAGATGGCAATCTTTATGGAGATTCATGGAATACAACCGGGGCAAGCGGCGAACTTTGCCGTTGTAAAACGTTGAACGTTTATTCGGTACGTAAATGAAGCATTCGCATTTATTTTTATACAGAGAGGGCTTTGACTCTCATCGATCCGTTATTCCTGCAGTTATTGTAAACCACAGCAATATCGGTAGCATCTGCATTAGTTTAAAAGTGCCATTTGAAGATAAACATTATCGATGTGTTATCGCACGAGTTTTAACAGCACTTTTCGAATGAAGAAAGAGGTATTTGCTAATCAAATCTGTTCATATGTTCGACGTCATCGCTTAACGAGATTCCCGCGTTAAGCAATTGCATATCTCGTCGCCGTTATCGTCCAACTGTCACAAAACTGCCACGATAAAAGCGAAAAGTAAATATAAAAGTGCACACAGATGTACTTAATATAACAATAATACAATTAATAAATTCGTTAGTGCGTCGCTTTATTTATACTCACGCACAAATAGTACACCGAACGGTATCGAGACAGGAAAATCCTTACGAAAAAGTAGCGAAATAATTACTAGAAAATTATACTGTATATCGATAATTGAATCCTTAGAAATTACCGATGCACAGTACTTTTCTAGTAATTATTGCGTTGCTTTTTCGTAAGGCAAGGAAGAGAAAAGTGGAGATAAGGATAAAAGTGAGCGAGAGAGAAAGTTATAATCTAGTAGTAGCAATAAGTAAAGTTCAGACGACGTTGATGATTTAGAGAACCGTGTGTTATATCAATTGGAACTTTCGCAAAATTACGCAGCTTTGCGTAATAGTGTACCAATGTAGCGGTTACACTTATACAATAAGTCTGCGAGGATACATTTTACACATTACAATGAAAGAAAAGTGCATCCGTTGTAATAAGGCAATATACGATTAACAAAATTAAGAGAGTTAATTTGAAAGTAAATATCATTACATATATTTGTCAGTTTGACGTTTGAATATTTGGTTATTAGGTAGAGAAACTGATTTGCCAAAGCGTATTTCTTCAAAAATGTGAGAGCGGCTAAATTGAATCTGTATTAGTCTCAGATAATAGAAGTGTCTCTTGTTTTAGTACTTTCCGAACAGAAGGGAGCAACAGCAGCGTTCCCGATCGATCGATCGCGATTTGCACCTTTAGCCGCGAATGTTCTTCGTGAACGAAGAAAAAGTTACCTTATAACACTTCTGCAGAGTATTTTTATAAGCTGATGTATTATATAAAAGACAAGTGGAGGGTAGTCGACGCCATTATACTGACCTTTGAGAAAAACGTGTGCGCGGCTTACGAACGCTGTATATATTCAAGCATCCTTGTTGTAGCATCCTCAAATTGGTTCATGATATGTATGTGTGTGTGTGTGTGTGTGTGGAGGGGAAGTCGATAGGCATTATCTTCGGCGTTCCATCTTCTCTGTCGAATCGCGTGTGAAGAGGACAAGTACCGCTGTAGCTGCCGCTGGCGGAGCATTGTACACATATAATAAAAATGCTATATATTGCAATAGTATATAGGGTCTAGAAAAATATATTTAAAGATAAATAAAGATTCTTTAATAAATATATTTAAAAATATATTTAAAAGATAAAAATGCTATATATTGCAATAGTATATAGGGTCTAGAAAAATATATTTAAAGGATAAATGAAGGTTCTTTAATAAACGTCGACGTTGCTTTGTTGACTGAAAGGTTAAATAAATCTTCATTTGTTGCAACTTTTTAATTCCTCATTGTTAAACTTCTTAACGAAAATGTGCCTGAAATAATATTATAATATAAAGCGCAATTGGGCGCAGTTCGTGATCAAGGAGTCAATTTTTTAATTATACGAGTTCTGCAATTTACAAACTTTTTTTTAAATAGAATAAGCCATTGTCATAATTAAAACTCTTTGAAAAATGGAATATGACGGTTCGCACGTCGCGTTAGAGTCGAAACGACTTGTGCGTTATCGTCGCGCACACATTGCAAAGTTAGTTTCGCGATTGAAAAAGACACGGCGGTTTTTCCTAAGGAGTTCGAAAGGAGCGACTGTGTGGCATTTGCAAGAAAATAAAATGGCTTTAGTTTCACGGTCGATCTGTTACGGTCGCGAACCGTTACCAACGTTCAGAGAAGAAAACATCCCCGAGTGATTGTCTCCAACGTTCTTCTTCGCGAGACACGTATGTCAAATGCAATCCGCGCGCGTACATAGAATGCTTCCTAACACTCCGATCGAATTTTCCCGTGCTATTTACTTGTATATGTATATACGTGCGAAAATATCTCACTCTCGTTGCTCACTTATCATTGCAATTGTTTTACCGTTCAATATATTAAATAAATCAAATGTGTACGCGCAGATGCGCGCGTACGTGTGCATGCGTATGTAAATAAAATAAACTCACACACATGTAGAGGGTGAGTCTTTCCATATCTGACAAAATTTTTGAGAAGGTAAAACGGATGGAGATGAACGGAAAAGTCCTGTACCATTTTGTAATTTTCGTAATAGTTAACGAGTAATTAATTATTAAAAATCGTTGTCTTAGGCCGGCCTACCGCCCAATTCGAGCGCGTGGCGAGATGTGACCGCCCGGCGATCGATATTGCTATGCGCACATCTCGCCACGCGCTCGAATTGGGCGGTAGGCC